TCCGTGCTGCGGGGCCGGCCCTGCGGAGGTGTTGGCGGTACCTGCCTCGCGCGGAGGGCGAAAAAACCGCCCTTCTCACGGCCGAGAGCAAGCCCCAAAGCGTTTCCACACCTGGGCGTTTCGTTACGTCTTACTGCCGTCATCTTCTGACAGAAACGTACCCTTGTGCGCGTTGCTGTAACATGCTTACATGTTACATGGCCTGAAGTACCCAGTTCAGCGCAGGCGTGAGGAAGAAATGGTGTCGTGGCCTGCGGTTTACCACGCAGTGATCTGCACCCTGCGTGGCTCCGGCTCTGTGGGTTATCCTGGTAATGGAGTTAGGTTATTGCCTTGGGAAAGCGGAGAGGTGACAATGCTACTGCTATCGTGCAAGTTCAGTGAACGTACAACTTCTGCTGTCGGAATCCAATTCTGATAGCAAAAGTCTCGGGCTTTTCCCAAAGTCAGAGTGCTGAGACTGATCAGCACCCCACTTCTGTGGTGCCCAAACGGGGTTCTCCTCACTTAGGACTTTATAATGCCTTAAAGTAGGTATTTTGCATTAAAATGGCCATTTTAAATGTAGGAATAAAATTGCTTATTCTAATATGACTCAGCTGAGGCATCTGTACTCCGTGACCTATGTGGGTCATGTACTGCTTTTGCTTTTTTTAAGCAGAGGCAGTAGTACTTGGCAATGCCCTGGGGATTTAGTTGCTTATAGAGGAATTCAAGTTGAAAAGCACTATTATATAATACTAAATGTTTAAGTCCATGCAAGCATCTGCATTTTACTTACATTTAAGTATTTTAAATTACTATTTTGGTTAAAAATCTTTTTCCCAAAAAAGGCTGCTTTTATCACTGAGAACCTTGAACTTGACTTAAAGCTAAGACAAGAGGCTCTAAAATTCTCACTTGTTATAAAACATTAGATTTCACGTTATTTGTTGTATTGCTGTATGCTAATTTTTATTGTTTCAAAACAGAATAAGTTCCTTTAGAAGGTAATGTTTGTTTAGGAGAAAAATAAATATGTTTTTAAAGTCTTCTGGATAACTGTTGTACTTCTTTTTATTTTTAGAGTATGAAGCAGAAGAGTCTCAATTTCCAGATGTTCCTGAATCAAAGCATGGATCTGTGAGTATAGTTCAAGTAAAAAATCTGCATAGGGCTGGTTTTAAAAGATTTTAAATAACTAAATGGGAAGATTAGGTACCGCAGAGTAGACTCATTCATAAAATGAAACCAAAACTACATTTTGCAAACAACTTTTGTGAATCAACAAATCAACAATGTAATATTCCAAATCATTGCTTTTATTTAAAGGAACTTGGGCGGTGCTATGCTAAAATTAGATTACCAGCTGTGTTTGGTTTGTATGTCTTGCTGGTTTTTTTTCTGTGACTGTCTGCTTTGTAGGCAGGACTCTGAAGTATGCAAGGATCTCCTTTGGGTGGTGTTGCAAACAGACTGAGCACTGAAAGACGCAGGAGAGGCGAGCAAGTGCAACGAAGGATTTACGCCCCAATTTCACATACGTGATAGGTCACTTAGATGTGGCCATTGAAATTATTGGAATTAAACCTGATCACAGTTGTTTGAAGTCTAATTTTGACCAAATAAATTCCGTCTAGGAAGACTTTTTTGGCAGACTTAAAAACTTAAGAAAGACAAACCACTTTAAATCTTTGTCCCCAGCAGTTCTAGGAGCAGCAAAATTAATTGTTTTGGGCATCACACACAGACTTAACTTTCATTTAAATAAGGTATTTTTGTAGACTTTTATTATTTGGTATTTAGGTTACTTTGTCATTTTAAAACTATTTTAAGACATTGTAGTTTAAATTGTCTGACAGTTGGTCTGTTTAGATCAATCCTGTTTCCACAAATGAAACTGGCTTCATTACAGGCTGTTATTAAATGTGAATAGTGAACTCTGCTTGGGGCATTAGTCTGGGAACAATATCTTGATATAGTTGGGGATCAAAATGAAATAATATGCCTTTTTATGTTGATGCACTTTCTTTTAATTTCCAAACGGATTGTTTTTTGAATCTTGCATATATTAAAAAGCAGTCTCTCAGCAGTCATTGACATGGCGTGTATTATCAGTGTAGTGGCCTGATCCCACCACCTGCTTTTCAGTAGCTCATAAATCCAACTGGATTTTAAAGTGAAACTGTTCAGATGACATTGTTTTCATAACATATTTTCACAGCAAATTGTAATGCTGGTGCATTCTTGGGGATAATAGGAGGTATCTGCCTTTCTAGAACATGTCGCTCAGTGTCTGTTAGGAGTATTCTGCTGGCTCACTGTAACGGTTCCTGCACTCATAAAAACTATATGTAAAATTGTGGACTATTTTTTACATGGTATCCATAATTGTTTCTGTATGGGGAAACTTAAGATTTGGATTTGCATCTGCTCTGAACGTGTCTGTTTGTGCTTTGATTAGAAGGGAAGCTTATTTTCTTTAAAAGATGAGTGTCAGGACTTCTGAACAATACAGAAACAAATATATAAGGTTCTGGGTCAAAAAATAGTTCTTCAGAAAATGTTGCCAATTTTCATTTCGAATAATTACTATTTCTTACAATGGTTAAAATATTTTTTAAATTGTGGTATCTCACCATATTCTCTTAAAAGCAGTCATATACCTTCTGTTGGGTTTGGATTCTTTTATTGTTCTGGAACCTGCAGAATTTTTTTAAGTGTCATTATTTCTTTTAAAATACTCCCAAAATACATAAATATTTTCATATTTTAATTAGAAATTATAATTCCTTTTTTTTTTAACTGACCTTATAATTTTTCCTGTTGAATTGGCTTCTATATTTTTTTACAGTCTGACTGGAGTATTTATATAGGTTACATCTATCTTGAACAGGTGTCTTTGGAAGCGGGAATATTGCAGCCATTATGTATGGAACAATTTTATTCAGCCCCTGCAGCTGATACTCTTGTCCAACAGTTGCTTCCCATACCCGAGGCAGCCCCCTTTCCAGAACCACCTGATCCAAAAACATGTAAGTAGGAATATATTATCTTGAACCCTGCTGTGATTATTTTTCTTGCCTTCAGCAAGGGTTTGTCAGTTGTGGAATTTGAAGTGTTAACAGCTACAATACCTTTTCCTGAGTGGAATTTGCATGGCAAGTCCCCTGGTCTGTAAACAGGGAGCCAGCTTGGCCATTTGGTCAGTGGAAGAAAGCTCAAGTGGTGCATTACAAATCATTAGCATTGTCTAGCTGTTAAGGTAGTTCCGTTCTCTTCTGAATAAGTGACTTTTTATTTAACCACTTAAATCAGAGAAAGGCAGGCATTTCTTCCGCTAATTTAATAATGCAAAACTAGGATCAATAGACTAAATAGACAATTGAGTTTGAAAACTGCTTTCAAAATATTATCTTTGCCTGTCTGATTACAAATTAGAATGGAAACAGCTCTAAAGTTTTGTTCTTCCATTTTTATCAATTTCTATACTTTATAAAATTTACCAAGTAGCAATGTATTTTTATTATGCATTTTAGCCCTCCTTTTTGTCTTCTCTTCCATTCATTCTTGCTCATTAGGAATTCCTGTTGCTAGTCAGAAGCAGTGTTACCCTTGGCTTTTATATATATCGTGTCCTTTCAATTATGAACATTTTCTGGCAGTATATGAACCAATTAAAGGTATAAAGCAGAGAATAAATTCTGTGTTTCAGCTGTGTTGCCAGAAGAGAACACTTCTATGACTTAATCTATACTGACCACATCAAAACCTGAACACTTACTGAATGGCAGGCAATCTGGCTTTAAATCAAGGACAGCACTTCAGTCAATAAGCCACCCCTGCTTGTCTAGGATCCTAGCAGGTTTTGTTTTCACCTTTCTGAGGGAAGTGCTCTTACGGCTTCGTACAGGGTCATGCTCCCTGTTCCCTCTGGCCCAGTGAACTTGAGTTCCTCCATGTGCAGTGTCTTCATCGAAGGGGGTAGAAGGCTTCTCCACTTAACACAGTTGATAAGTTGATGGTGAAAGGTCCCGCATGGGAAGATGGAGATGTGGGGAAAAGCTGAGAAGGAAATGGAGCTTGAGTTTCTCAGTGGGGCAAGCATGTAGCCATTAGGCTATACGTAAAGCAAGGGCAATAGCACCGCTGTTTGTTGGTGATGCTGACTGCAGCTGCTTTCTTCTGCATGGAACTCAGTGATGCCAAAGTGTGTAAGCACATGGGATGTATGGTAAGTAAACCTCATGTAAGGGCAGTGCAGTGAAACGTAGAAGAGAGATGCCAACTCAGACAAGCCCTTTCAAGGTGGAAAAATTTGGTATACGGAGTCATGTTCAAATTTCTGTAGGATCGGACAAGTAGAAAGAAATCTATGACGAGAAAGAAATCACAGCACCACTGAAATATAACTTTTGTTTTTTCCTCTGTCTAGAAGTTCAGTTCTATGATGAACTCTGTCGCTGCAGATTTTAAAGGGCATGAGTATACATACCAAAAGTGGTCTAGCTGTAACAGCACTGAGTTCAGCACAGGCCAATTTGCTTTTCTTTCTGTCAGGGTAAATTAGTCCATGTTGTTTTTTCATTTCCATGCCTAAACTGCTTCTGGTGTCTGAGCTTACTCATTTAAAACTAAGTCTGACATCTCTGAGGCACACTGTAGTTTGCAGTGTTGATGCACCTTTAGTTTGAAATTTACTCAAGTTTATGTTGTCTTGGCTGAAGAGAAGTGAAGACAGATCCCTGGCTGTATGTGAACTGAATGAATCTGTTCAGTTCAAGCTGTGACGGTATTGATAAAATGACTTATACTTAGTTTATGATATCTAATGTTTGTCTTTTTTTTTAAATCTAAGTGCTTACCTGTAAGTGAAGGCTGTACTGTTTTGCTCAGGTTCTCCTCGAGAATACTTAGAGTATTACATATTTCCAGTACTCTTACCCGGAATGTCTGAACTTCTGCATCAAGCAAAGAAGGAAAAGTGTTTTGAGGTTAGTTTTTAGTTTTCAGTTCAAATCATTGGCAGGAAGTTACAGCCTTTTATTCATAGGCAGTATTTCTTTATTTGGTCTTTTGCAAGAAAACCAACCACAATAATACGAAATAACATATTGTGAGTTGTTTTGCATCTGGTCTTGAATGTTGTTCTCTCAAGTAATTCAGAACAGATTGCATACTACGCACACTTGATCATAACAGCAAGCTCTAACTCACAGCAAATCCTTCTTAAATATCAGTTGTATCTAGCATAAATAGTGTTGTATTTTAGAGAAACAGGCTTCCTTTCAGATTAATATGCATCGCTCATTTGAGGGTGACATAAAGAACTTGAATTTTACTTCATTACTGGAATATTTTTGCTGGCCTGGCATCCTGATAGAAGTACATTTTGTATTTTAGTTTTTTAACATTCTTTATAAATTCCATTTAATTGGAAAGCAGGGTATTCAGCATTAATGAGCTTATAAAAGTTGTACATTTTAAAAATCATTGTTTGGTACATATATACTTATACATTTGTTTTCAGTGTATGTGTGCCTAAACATATTTAGAGAGACATTTTTCATTGTATATAAGGAATGCTTAAAAAAGCATTAGAACTGGTGCAAAATAAAGCTCATTGTATCACCATAGCCTAACTCACAGACCCCCAGCAATAGACTACGTACTGGGAGTTGTGGGGTCTTCCATCATTTCTGCTATTTGCTCTAATCATGGAAGTATTTTTTTTTCTATTTCTTTCCTAATTTCTGTCTGTCATCCACAATTTCCAATGTAAAACTTCTCAAAATTTTTATGCCTGCAGCTGAGCCTCCTCTTGCAGCTTCATAATACAAAGAGCAATTAATATAAATGACAGTGAAAATATCTCACTTATTCTACATGATACACATCCAAGGAATACAGTCTGTGCTGTGTTATAGATTAAAATGATAGTGAATTGAAGAGGACTTTGTGTTACTAGTGCGTTATTAATCATCTTAAGTCTGGCTTTACCTCCTCTCCAGCTACTGACACAGACTTCCTGTTACAGGCATGTTTATATATGATAACAGACATTGTGGAACGATTTGTAAAAATTACATGTGTGCTCTTTGCCACTGACCTATACATGCCTGGCACAGCCAAAAATACACAAAGCTTACCATGCTTGAATAGACACCCCAAACTTGAATTTCAAATTCAGATCTGTACATTTAATAACAGTAAGTTATTTCAATTTTTTGCTTGTCTTCACAAGATTTTTGTGTGTATAAACTGATTGATCTGTAGATGCATGTGTATGTATTTATAACGTGTGAATAATACAGGTGAAAAAGGAAAATGGTTCATTTACATGTCGTTATGGCATGACATCTCTGTACATCATTCTTGCCATCACATTTACATTACCTAGCCAAGAACAGATTGAACATATATATTATTCATCACACTTTTAACAAAATTTATATTGATTATCTTTTTTGAGGAGGAAGCACATATCCTTTAACAGGAAAAAAACATGTCTTACAGCTGGCTTAAAATACCATTCTTTATAGATGTTACATATTTCTGAAGGCAATAAAACAGCACTTAATACGAAACTATGAGGATTCCTAGAAGTATTTTCATTTCAAACTCAGGACAAATCTAAGGTTACTTTGTCTATTTTTAATCTGCGAAATTTTGCAGAGCTTCAGTGGTGTATCGATTAGATAGTATCTGTTCTGAAAATGGATTTTGTATGGGTTTGTGTGTTGCTTTATAGTAAACTAATAAAAACAATTATTTTCTAATGTATAGAAACTTCATAAAAATGAGCACACCTTATCAAAAAGACACTTAAGTGATTTTTGTTGTTATATGAAGAGATGTCCTGTGCTTGGGGAATCAAGTTTAGGAAAGCAAGCTTATGTCAGGTGGTCATTTTCCACTGTGACATAATTTCTTCCTCCCTTTGAACAATAACTACTAAAACAATAGCTCTTTATGCTTGCCATGTAACTGAATATTTGTGTTCTTTTCCATTACTGTCCAGGTGCTTGTACTTGGACATTCTGTTTCCTTATCTGACTTAAATATGTAACTTCTAATTATACTTTTGTTTCCTAAGAAATGTGTTGTTCCATATGGATTTGGAGAAAAAAACATGCTATAATTTGTATTAAAATGTTTAGTTTGGTAACCGGCACTGATTTTTAGGATCAAAACCAGAGCCCTTAAAACCCAGAGAAAGTTAGGGACAGGGAGAAAGGTTCTTGTAATAAACACACCAGAAGATAGCTTCAAGAAAGAGGAGGAGAACAAAGAGTAGAAAGATTCATGGAATTCATGAGAGAACAGGAGAGGAACTTGATTAATTGTGATTAAGGTAACTGAAATCATGAGGGATGAGAACAGAATACTGGGGTTGAATTGTGGCTTGACATGAGTCATTAAAGCCTGTAAAAGGCATCTGTGTAGAATAAACCAGTGGAAGATAAATGGAAGAAGCACTGGAAGAAACAGAGGAGTAATCAAACTGACTGCAGTCAACGTTGAATGAGCCTGGGAGAAGAGAGAGGGAATTGCGAGGGAGAATTAAGAGTGGGTTTTTTATGAGAAGGACTAAAAGTTTTCATGTCTTGAAGGGGAATGAAGATGAATGAGAAGAGAATGAAAAATTAAGTAGGAGAGTTGTTTAGCAACTGAGATTGTGGTAGGGGAGATCAGATCATGGGACCAACAGAGAAATTCAAGGAAGACATCAGAAGACGCACCCATGTCTGGAAAGGAAGAATTGTAGAATCAGATGGGAAAGTCAGTTATGCTGAAAATAGTCATTTGTGTGGGAAAGAAATCTGCAAGATCTTATTTGGAAGGTAATAGAGAAACATGACAGCTTAAACTTTTAATTTAAAATAGGTTCTCTTGCGTTATGTAATGTATATGAAAAAGTATAGTGTATATGAAAAGCAAAAACCTAGAAAAACCACCAGCAGCTAGATACATTTGGAGACTTCAAACTAACATAAATATGAGAACAGTCTGCAGAAGCTTCGTCTTTAAATTAGAGATGAAAGAAACCTATTAGGTTGCCCTTGCTGATTTTTTCTTTTCCCTACCATAAGTTCTCCTGTGCTTTATCCTATCTGCTGTCAAATGTCTCCAGGGGGAAGACTATTTTCTTAAATCTTTTCTCTCACGAGAACTGACTAATGCATTAATTTTTCAGCATTAAAACTGAAAAATGTTTAAATGTTTTTATTAGCATAACTCTGATTTTTCTTTCTGATTAGTGATCACAGAAAGAGGATGCTGTATCAGACTCTGTAATGGAATATCTTATATTTAAAAGTATGATTGATCAGGGAAAGTGAGTGGAAGAAGGTTTCCTAATGAGTTTGCCATCTTCTGATCACCATTATTTTTGCATGATTATTACCAAGCACATCATATTTAAACTGAAAAATGGAAAATGAATTCTTACTAGACATAGTTTATAAAGACATCTGCAGGTTAACAATGCACATTGTGTAGATATTTCCTGTGTTTATTCTGATTCATGTAGCATAGGAGGAATGTGTCAAAGGCAGGTCAATTTATGTCATTTTTTCCCTTCTATAAATGTTGACTGCTGTGCAACTAATGATTTAATTCACTAACAAAGTCAACTATTTCCTGGCAAAAAAATAACAAAATAAAAATATATTCAGCTTGACCAAATTCCTCCCTGATAAGTGTACTGGATCTAGCAAGGGCAAAGGAAGATGAATTTGATACTTTTGGTGATGACTGTTGCAACAACACTGTTCTGATAATTTTTTCCTGTTGCAAAGGAAAAGCAATTTACTTAAAACAGATTAAATTACAACTGCTAGATTAAATTGAGTTTTGTTGTCAAAGTACAGAATTAATTCTCTGAAACAATTCACTAAGTAATGGGACCCAGTTTCATACTGTGATTGAGAATAGCTGTAAAAAGACAATCAGACTCTGCTATTTGTTTTCAGATACTTCAAGTATTGACTTGTTCAAGTCAGAATTTGTCCATTTAACATCTAAAATGACCTGTAGAAAGCTCTCCAGTGAAGGTGTTGGTCTCTTAAAGCTTTGGTGTTTGGCTTCTCAGAACAGTATCTGGTATTAGTGTGACAAGTGTGAAAATTGCTTAAGGAGATGTGTTTTTCACAGCCAAGCACTCTAATGGAGCGCTACGTGAACCCCGAAGCTTTTATTGCCATGAAACAGATCATAAAGGCACATGGGGTTCAGGACTGATAATCGTTCTGTGCTGTTCTCTTTTTGTGTTCTGCTTTTTAAAAAAAACCAGTTGTCCTCTTACTTTTCTGTGGGAGTCAGACTATATGTCCACCAAGGATAAGATTCACTTAGAAAAGTAAAAGCTTTCCTGGGTATCATCTAGGAATCCTGTGCAGTCTCGCTCTCAACTTCACATTTGTCATCCCCTAGCTGCATGACTACCCGGAATTCTTCGCTGTGCAGTCAGTGCCTCACCTAATGTTCCTCTTCTACCTCACCTGTGGCCGAAGTAATACACTAACCTCCAAATTATGCCGTGTGCTAATACCCCAGACAGAAAGAATTATGTCATGTAGAGCACTTTTTTCTGCCTCTCTGCTCACACACCGCAGTCCTTTTTGCATCATGTTCCTGTAGCATTAAATTTCCAATTACATGTGTATTTTTCTAGTTTTCTACTAGTGGTAGTAGTACCTTAATTTCTTACATTTTAATAAAGACTCCAAACTCTTTCAGGACATTTAGCAATTTCACAAATGTGTTAGACCAGTATGGATTGTTTTCCTAAAAAGTAAGAATTGCAGTTAAATCTCCCTTTTGGCAGGGTAACTATTACCTTCTGGATGGGAGCTAGACCTTCTCTAAGCTAAATGGCTGCTGTTTTGATAAAGCACTCCGTGTCTCTGTTCTGCAGGGGCTTAACGTCTTTTAGCGTTCACCCTCTGGCTGCGTACACCCATAACACATCTCATGTAGGAGGGGTTCAGAAGGTACTAGCCAAGCTCTTCTGTTATTCCAGCCAGAAGTGTATGTTATATTCACATCGTGGTTACTCTGGTTTGTGATAAGCAGAATAAGCACCTGTACTCATTTGTACATACGCCTTGTTTCTGCCTTCCTTTCTGGACTACCCAACAGATGATTTTGTCTGAGCAGCCATACAATACTCTGCTCTGTGTGTGTCTTAAGTATTCGCAATACCTTCAAGCTGGTTCCATGCAGGAGGAAACAATATTCCATTAATGTTCCTTCTGTGCCTTGGAAGCAATGAAATATTTTAAGTATGATAAAGAGCTTTGAACAAAAGAGCAAGTAATTTACAGCATGTTTTCATATATGAGTTCTGTTAATTTCTTTGCAATGAGATTGCAACTGATAAATAACACCATTCTGAGATATTTGTTATAGCTATACTGAGCAAATATCCAGACAGTATATGTAGAATTTTCTCACTCATTTTTTGACTTGACTTGAAAGCATTCCACAAAATGTCTAAAATTTTGGCTGAGCCACTGACTGTTGGCAGTAGCAATATTAAAGTAGACAGAGTAATGTACTGTATATTTTATTTAATAAAAGCAGTCAATTTAGCTTCTGTTCCTCTCCAGTAGTAAAAACATGTTACCAATCCAAAGATAATAAATAATTTGAAACTATCTTCTATCTTTAGAGACGAAGGACCAAATTTATTGCCTGTGATTTCCTAACTGAGTGGTTATACAAGTAAGTTAATTATGGCTTTTACTATTAATTATGCTCAATGATTCAAAGACATTAATTTGCAAATAGAATATACAATTTAAATTAATATGAGTTGTTTTCTTTTTTTGTTATCAGCAAAAACCCAAAGAGGAAAGATGAGTCATTCACAGAATTCTTTTCCATTCCTTTTGTTAACGACTGGCTAAAGGACCAGTAAGTTATTGCTGTACTCTGAGTAACCTTTTCTCTTCTTATTCTTTTTCCCCTGCTATTCCAAAAAAGCAATAGAGCTTCGATGCATTATAATTGTGCTCTCTAAATGCCCTTTACTGCGTGCAGCAAAGAACAATGTGATGCTTTCTAGTGTATTAGTTACAGGGTATTTTGTACCAGAGTTGTTCACAGGGAAATTAGTTTAGAATTCTTAAAACATTTTAATTGTAGAGTGCAGGGCGTTCAAATAGTCTGGTAGTATTGTGAATATCTTTGTACTAAGGAGCAAAGCAGTGTTTTCAATGCTGCTTTCTACTATGGAAATCCTTGAGGATATACAGCCTAGAAATTCTTCCTCTAACTATAAGCAGCTGTTTTAAAAATACCTGTAATAATCCTTGGCGTTAGGATGAATTTCTGCATACATTTATGACTTTGCATCTGAGAAATGAACACTTGTTTTGGCAGCCTCAATCATATATTCCTCATTATTCCTGTAGAACCAAGCTACAGAGTAGTTTTTAAAGAAATGTTACTGTTCTTGAGATTGCAGTTTGTTTTACAATGTAGCTGCATGAGAAAAGAAGAAAAGTATAGTCCACAGTGAGAGAATAAGAAAATTACAGAGGTCAGATTTTAAAGAAAATTTTCAATTTGAAAACTTAATTGGAAGCTAGGTTGGTGGTCAATGAAAACTTAGAGATTAATCTTTGTAGATATATTTACTTCATTACACTATGTAAGTGGAAATTGAGCTTTCTTGAACTCTTGTGGTGTGAAACTTAGAACCTTGAGTCACTGATCCAGCAAGAGGAAAGCTCCTTGACCTTCACAGGTCTTTGGAGACAAGCTGGTGATGGTGGCATGAACAGTTAACTTTGACTATCTTAGAGGTAGTCATGCTGTCAAAGTTGTGTAGGAAGCTTCTGCAGTAAGAGACGGTCATCTTTGGAGAGTGACCCATTTCATCTCAACTCCGATACTACCTTCAGGTACCTGCTACTGCATCATGCTGTCCAGCCACTGTTGTTCAACCCTGTCACTGGTGGGGCACTTCTAACACTTTCTTCTGTAGATCGCTAGGTCTTGCCAGCAAGGTTCTCATTTAAGGCAGTGAATTTTGTAGTTTTGAAACTGATCATGAACCGCAGTGAGGTCGTCATACTCATTTTGAGTATCATGAGTTGTCATGGTCATTGCAGAGGGGTTGAATTAGATGATCTTTAAAGGACTCTTCCAACCCTATTCTTGAATTTCTATGATTTCTTAAGCATACTGAAGAGCCATCGGTTAGTGAGGCAGTTTTGATACCACTGATTTGTAAGGATATTTGTACCTAAGATAAGTATCTAAGATCCCAGTTTTACAAATGTTTCTCTTGGAAGTAAATGTACTGACCTAAATGGTTCCCTGCTCTCTCTCGTTCTTCCCCCTAACCTGCTTGTAGACAGCCTAATAGCACGCTGTCTGTTTGGCAGGATGCTTGGTTATTCTGATCAGGACCTCCTCTGAGTTAGAAATCTCCCTGCCAAAATGTGTGAGGAGGGTTTGTATAGCTATTTAAAATAGAGATAATTTCTTCAATCTGGTTCACCTGGGAGCCTAACAAACCTTTGTATTGGCACAAACAAAGTATTAAAATGGAGGGCTCAGGGCAAGATGAAGAGAACAAATGAGCTGGTAAGATACAGCGGTGGTGGCAGGAACTGCTTAAGTCAGCTTTGCCAACAAGAGAAATACACTGTGGAATCACAGCCCAAATGACTCATAGCTTCTGTTAGTACTTGTGCTCCTAAATAACATAGTGACAGCTCTACAAGGACACTGAAGTGTTGAAGTCCTACTTAAATTGATACACACTTGGTTTAAGCCCTATAAACAAGTAGGCCTTTAAAAATAATACTTATTTAAATGGTTATTAAAACCCAACTTTTTGTGAACTTACCTTAAAATTGCAGATTTCTTAAAAAATATTTCTTATGAAGCATTATTAAAGCAAAGTGAAAGATTGCAATATTAAATAAGAATAAAAATGAGGGAATTCATTATTATGTCCTTCTGGATATGTAATAAATATTTTATTATTATTATGTCCTTCCAGATATCACAATTAAATTAATTGTAATTGTTTCCATGCTTTTTATTGACATTTCCATTTTTATTTGTAAAAGAGTTTTCATTTTTTAATAGGATTTATGGATGTATAAGAGATGATATGCTAAAAAGCACTGGTCAGTTTTTCATAGGAAGCATCGTTATCCCAACTGTTTAGATGATATAGTAAAGAAAAAGAAGTAAAAACTTGCTGCAGATTTAAGGGGTAAACTCTTGTGTTGCTTTTTCAGTTACTTCTCTAAATTTGGAAAGCATTCTGAAAGGTCTGTTAAATAGGCATAAATTTCTATGTTTTGTTAAAATAGGGTTTATCAGTGCAAAGTGGTCTTCATGCTTAAAAAAACCACAAAAAACCCCCAAAAAACAGAGGGATAAATTTTTGTTCTATCAGAAATCCATCTTTTTTTAATACATTCCGTACCTGAGTATGACTTTTTTGGCTCTCCTCCAGTGCCTCCAGTTTTTTCTTTGAAGCTCAATTTTTTAAAAGAATAGTCAAAGCCACAGTCTTATGAGCCTCGCTGGCTGCGTGATGTGTTTCTAAATGAGATCTTGCAGCCTACTTTTCCTTTATAAGGAGACCCAAATGCTGCATCGGTTTCCAGAATTTTAAATGTAAACGTTATACCTTCAAAAGCTGGTTACTATAGGTGAAGGAGCTTGTAAAATTTGAATTTGTTTCCAGCTTTAGTATTTATAGTAATTGCTATGACATTAGTAAATAAAAGCCTCAGTATAGTTACCTTTCTTCCGCTGGATTCTGTATTTTACCAATAGCCCTGACAAAATATTATATCATTTGGGAATCCTTGATTGCTGAAGCAGGTTTCAAAAGCAAGAGAAGGAGCAGTCTCAAGACTGACTGGTAATCTACATTTCACATCCAGGAGAGCACAAAACATTTCTGTTGTCTTAAAGGACAGCTGTACCTTTCAGAGGACAGGAAACTGGAGTTTTAACAAGAAGTTAAGAAAGGTTTTTGGAAACTTGCTGAGATACTTACTGATGTCTCCATTCCTACGTTCAAGACTGCTGATATAGCCAAGTAAATAGAATTAGAGCCTTGAATGTTTTGTACCCCTATAATATGCTAGTGAGAAACACAGTTGCCTTTTGTCGGCATTTTCCAGTGGTGTTTCAGGTTGAATAGCAGTGAAGCTCAATCACAAGTAACCAACTCTATGTACTGAATCAGGGACAGGGAAAAAAAAATGCCCTGATCCCCTTTAAATTTTACTTTCCTGGCATAGGTAGGCTGAGTCGTTATTCTGAGTATCATTACCCAACCTTCTTTAGCATATTAATGAAAGAAATATAAAGAAAACAATAAAAAATAGTTCCACTGCTCTGAAAAATACTGATATCATAAAAGTCTACTGTCACATGAATTTAGTAATATGACAGTATTGTTCGAGTTCACCTTCAACCCTTACATTGAATGAAGGAGAATGATATATGGATCTAGGTTAGGAAGATCAGTCTTTGTATGCATATTTTACAGAGGTTAAAGGAACTAAAGGTGTATTTCATAAATAAACATTCTTTCAAACGAATTTATTTATCCGCATTTTCTCATTTTCTGCATAGAAGTATTTACTTGATACTCGGTTCAGGAGGACACATTTCCTGCTTTAATCTATCTGTGTGTACCAAAACAGATGTGCCGATACAGAGAAAATAAATTTATCATGGCTTTGATGAAGTGAACAGCTAAGATAAATACATATATATGTCTGTTAACAATTGCTAAATCTGAAGTAGTGGCTTTTTGCCAAATATCTGTATTTATGTATATATATACATTTATTCCCCCCCAATATTTTAATTAGGTGAAGTCTGCTGCTCTCAGCTGCCTTTCCAGTTGACTTCCTTGTCAGTTCTCAGATGGCCAATAGGGGTAATTTTTCATGGGTGACCGATTTCTTTCTTTCCATAATGTGCCCAGTTTCCACAGGTTTTGCTTTCTGCACACTGCTATATTTCACTGGTTTGTCTCTAAACCAGCCATGTTTAGAGTATATTTAATTTGCATTATGCTTTTTCTTTCATTTTCTTTAATAATTTGAGCGTTAAAGCGGGGGGGGGGGGGGTGTATGAGCAGCACAATTAATTGTAATAACAGAGAAGTCCCACAAATATGTCTCTATGGATGTTATTTTGTGTGGGTCCAAGTAAAGAATTGCCATTCCAGTAATGTGGCAGAATTCAAGTTAATGAGGAGAAAATTTTGACTTAAAAAACTACAACTGTGTGTTGGAAAATTGTACAAAGGTCATACATACAATATTTATATTGTGTAGTGGTCTTTTATGAGGTTGAGGTTTTATGGCTACAAATCCTGATGCAGTGTTGAAACTTGCCTTAATTATGTAAAGATGGTCAAAATTGCAATGACGAAATTGAAAACGTATTAGTGGTTTGTGACATCTTCCTAATGTTGCTGGTAGAGCACTAACTGGAGATTATTTTTGCTGCTGTTAGTTTTTCATGTTTACAGGATACAAGGTCTGATCTAAAGTATACAAACATAGATGGAAATTCCCCATTGACACGAGTGGACTTTGGAATAGGTCCATGTTTGGTTTCCTTCGGTCCAGGACCACAAACACTCTTACAGAATACATAAATATTGGTCCTACAAAAGAGAAAACTGAGGCAACACCATTGTGAGTTGCAAAATACGTAGCGAGTATGCAAGCACAGAAGGAGGGCTGACTTTTATCATTGAAATGGTTAAGACCTCCCCAGGTAGAGAGCATATTAAAAGGCAAGAAAGCCACTATAATTTTCAGACAGAACTTAGGACAAAAGATTCTTGCTCTGTTATTATTTTGGCATGTTCTTGCTACTAACACTTGTTGCTGTGCTTTCTCTAATTCCTCTCACATTCTTGTTACTGTTCACCTGTTCTGCCTCCTCCTCCTGTCCGTTATAGGACTCTGCCTCCCCACTTCCCAGCTTTCTCATGTTGGTTTCACATTATCTTCTCTTTCTACTGTATCTTTTCTTCATTATAAATAGGTAAATAAGTATATAAATAGTTTGTATGTGTTAACAGTTGTATGCATATTATCACTTTGACCGCTTTAATAATACTTCTGAGTGTATTTTATAGTTTTATTATACTGTAATATTTTGCATCTTTTTTGGTTTTGTTTTGTTAGAATTGTGGCTGAGACAGAAATGAAGCGGGAAATTTAAAAGTGAAATGTTTTGTTTGTTCACAACCTATAGCCTTTATATTTGAGGATATTCAAAAGACAAAAGTGTATTCAAAAGACCAGCAAATCAGTGGAAGATGCTGAGAATGGAGGGGGGCAAAAGGGATCAAAATATATTTCTTTTTTATTCTTCATTTAGCTATTGACAGTACCAAGGAACTTTTATTTGGAGAAGGTAATAGAGAAGAAAAGTTCAGACAGTTAGCAGGAGTCACACTTCAAAATGTCTCCTCATTTGCACTTCCTTTCTTCAGGAGATTAAATTTGGTTATTCACACATTCACAAGCATTCAAAAATGTGCCCTCCATATAATACACAAAAATGTTTTCTTACATATTGGACGATTTTTTTCTCCAAATACTTCTCTTTTATTCTAGTGCATTTAGATTACCGCAAAAGTAAGCCAATAGTTAGTAATTTCTTTCTGACCGTTGAATAGTTGTGTTAATTCTAACAATGTTACAAAGAAAGGTCTCAGTTCACACTCAGTTTGACCTGTGAAAATGTTCAAGGGTATTTTTGTCAAGTGTCTGTGGGAATATTTCCCTGTAAACCTGTGAGTCTTATACAGTAATACTGTTATGTCATTAATATATCTAATTGCTTTTACATACCAGGTCACATAAATCAGTACTTCAGCATCTGATTGTTTATGAAAAATCTTTCTCCTGCTTTTGGGGTAAATGATCTTAATAGTATCTATAATCAGAGATTTTTGAGACATTTATTTTGAATGATCAAAACAGTACTTTTTCATTGTTGCACACTTTTGCAACTTTGGATAAGCATGTAATAAGAAGGACTTAATATGCTGTAATATTTCTAGATTCTCTGAGTATGAATAAAAAATATTGAAAATATAAAGGAAAACTTCTTCCAAAAAATTCCAGAACAATTTTTTTGGTTGTTCAGACCAGCATATGAATTTTTTGTATTCTTTCAAAACCAAAAACTTTCTCAGAATCCTTTTTTTAAGAGTTATGCACATCACCATGGTCATTTACTTGCACGTCTTATATTTATCCCTATTCTTTGGTCTGTTCTTTTGTCTTTTAGATTATGAATTTTGCAGTGACGGTGTCATTGCCTGTGTTCATACATGATACAAATATTCAAGAACAATAACCATCACAACCAAATTAAAGGTGAAGTGGCTGTGGCTGTTCTATTGAAACTTACAGGCCTCCAGGAGACCTGATTTTTGTTGTTAGGTTGCTTCAGGATTGCTAGAGACGAGCTTTCTAAAACCAGATTCCACTGTCACCTGCACACCATCCGCTCCGGGCACCGATGCTCGCTGTAGCTAGCGCTGTGGTCCTGCAGGCAGCTAGCTGTAAGGCTGGTGGCTACATTTGGTGCTTGTCTGTTACTGTTAGGCAACAGATTTGAATAAAAAGAGCAATTACAAAATCCTGAATTATACATAGTGAAAATTTTGCTTGATTAAATTTTTTCTTATATTTCCTTTTCGAGGAAGGAATCAGACCTTCCGTTTGTAGGGCAGATTGGGAACTTAATGACAATTGGGGTTTCTGGAAATTACTGTGTAAAAATACTGACTGTATATAGTGTCCACCAGTATGACTATGAACACCCATTGATTAGCTTGTCTATTTTGGTGACAAGATAATGGAGGGCCTTTTTTCCCCCTTCTTGAGAGTTCGTTGAGAAACCCGATTTCTGTCCATGAGGAAATCAGACACAGGTCTTCAGTAAGAACCTTTTTCAATACTTCATACATTTATTTAATGCAAGTCTGCTTTATATCTTCTGGGTTCCAGATTCCACCTGCATAATGTAATGTAATTAGTAAGTATCTCACATAATCAGGATCTGTACATATTTGCTCAGAAAACAAGAAACGTGTTTCTGGAATTTACCTTTCCTCTGGTCAGTGCCTGCTTTATTCAGATTTGGTAAAATACAATACTTAAGAAAAATCATTTTACTGGTCGTCTTTTACAGGTGCAACTTATGTTAAACAGCGTATCTGATATATATCTCAAAGTAGATATCAATATGTTTAATGTGTGGGCTTTTAAGATTGTGCATCATCAAGGACTAAATAAACAGAATACAGTTAGTGTGCATTTTACTGTCAGTTTTAATCTTCTTGGAGGCATACAGCTGTCTTCTGCCACAAATGACATATTCCCTCTTTTCCTAGTTCACTGCTGAGGGGTGATTGCCTCTGCTCAGATTCTATTTTTATTTGACCCAAAGCCAATTGCGTATATTCTCTGAGACAAAACTGGACCTGGCACGACTTCTGTTCTTTATAGCTGCCCTGCTGAAATGATTGATATTTGCCAGTGACTGTCATACTGAAAATTGGGTCCCATTTCTTGCTTGATTTTTATATTGGTTTCTCAAATTTAGTGTTGGATTATAAACTAGACATTTTTATAATTTGAAAATGAAAGCAAATTAATTCTAGAGTCAGCATTGCAGGCTAGGAGAAATCTCAGTTTGTTCTTTAGAGATGTACTCATTCTTAGAGAAAGTTCGATGTCTTTGCTATGACTGCTGTAAAATATGTAGGTCTTTCTGTGATTTTCTCACTCTAAGTTTTGGTTTTCAAAAAGATCAAAAATGAACAGAGGATGAAAGCCTATCGGCCAAACCAGCACAGTCCAACTTCATATTTTTGATATGATTATAAGCAGCAGTTAGCTCATGAAACCTTGCTTGCCCAGCACTTACCATTTCCCTTGAGCAGTAGAAATGCTAATTAATGTTCGCAAAGCTAAAACTGTTCAGCTTAATGGAGAGACTTCTTTTTATTTTTGTCTTATTTCTACTTTTCCAAACAGACCAAGGTTTTCTTTCACATTACAATAAATATAGGCCAAAACCCAGCTGACGTGATGAGACCAATTTAGCTGAGGACACAGACTCAAATGGTGTAGTCAGTATAGCATTAGGTAATAGCTAAGATTGTGCTCTAAGTTGAAATGCTCCTTCAGTGAAGACAAGCCCTAAGAGAAGGATGTCAGAGAGCATAGGAAGCTTACTAGGGTAGAGACTAATATGGAGGAAATTAAGAGAAAGGAAAATGTAAGCTGTCGAGCCTTCTAGCTTGAGCTATAATATACAATAAACGTAGGCCAAAACCCAGCTGACGTGATGATGAGACCAATTTAGCTGAGGACACAGACTCAAATGGTGTAGTCAGTATAGCATTAGGTAATAGCTAAGATTGTGCTCTAAGTTGAAATGCTCCTTCAGTGAAGACAAGCCCTAAGAGAAGGATGTCAGAGAGCATAGGAAGCTTACTAGGGTAGAGACTAATATGGAGGAAATTAAGAGAAAGGAAAATGTAAGCTGTCGAGCCTTCTAGCTTGAGCTATAATATACTGTAAAATAAATTTCCAAAGGAAATGGCAGAAGTAATGTTTTAGCCAGAAAATGTAAGACTGCATAAATAGCTTGTTAATTGACGGTCTTGGCCGTATATGTGTCTTTATGTTATAAATACTACAAATAATGTTCCTGCATGGGTTGCATGTGTCTGTAGTTTTGGTAAAATAGACAGTTTACAACTGGTATAGACAAAAACATATTTGATAGTTAAATCCAAACGATTGCTGCATCCAAATTCATAACCCTATGGTCTTCCGAGTCAAAGCTGTGTTCAATCTGTGTCCCATGCAGCGAGAGTGGCTCTTAGCAGCCATTTTAACACTCTTGCCAAGTCTACTGTTTATAACTGGTATTTTCCTGAGTTGCAGCGTTGTTGCCCTATAGTTCGTTAGCTTTAAATGACATTTATTTTAAGAGAAACTATAGAAATTAATTTTGTCTTCTCCTTTTCAATGGATGCTTTCTGATCATTGTGTGTGAGAAATAAATCAACATCCATATAAAATGGCTTTTGGGAAGCAAAATTTGATACAGTGATTTGAGTTTTTGTTAGTGATGGCTGAATTGTAATTATAGAGTGTTTCACATTATATTTGTAGCAACAAAATCACAAAAAATGCTTTCAAATTACTGTATATTGGCTGAAAAGTGTTGATTTCACACATGTATTACTTTCTTTTATCACCAAACAATATGTATATGGTATCAAAAGTAAAAAATCAGCATTTTAATAACTTGTCTAGACATTTCTAAGCATGGATCCATGCTTATGCAGATATGATAATCATTAATTTTTTCAGTACATTAAGTGAAATGTACATTAATGTACAAAAATGTATTTACATTCTGTGTATTTAATAATTGTTAGAAACATTTGTGTCATAAGTCTGTTCATTGTTGCATGCACACTAAAACCTCCTCTGCTTTACAAATGTCATGCCTACTTCTCTTGCTCCCCTCCCACCACCTCCTCAAACCCTACCATAATTGTAGGAATTTGAAATCCATGTGGAGGAATAAGAAAGATTATTGTGCTTGATGTGCCATTTGTATATTATTGTTTTAAAGAAGAAATTATTGTAGCGAACATAACACAGAATATATTTTAAAAGGCGATTTTCTTTGCATATTTTTTTCTTTGGAGCAGTAAGAAATGGTATCTTTCAAGCTCCTGAACAACCTTTCTCTTTTTTATAAAATATACTGTTAGGGAAGAAAGTAAGTTACATTTTAAAAAACATTAATTTTGTTTAAGTCCTAGGCCACCAATTCCTCTCTCTCTCCTTCTATCAGAAGAAGAAGCAAGCATACTAATTCAGTCCTTCTGGAGAGGTTATCGGGTAAGAGTAATCTATAATTATTTTGCTTGATGTTGGAAACCATAGGACCATGAAGGCCCCGGGGAAAATCCTTACATAAATTTTAAGTAGCGGATACTATAAATAGCTGCCGAGACCCCCATGGTTCATTGGCTTTGCATGTTGTTCTGCCTTATGCCTAGTGACTACAATTTTTTCACAGGCATTTATGCTGATGTAATCTCACTGTTTTCCTCAACAACAGAAAATCTGGACCAATTAGGTTTTCAAAAGTACAATTAACACTGAACAATTTATTTTTTTTTTAGTTGATCTTTGGCTAGTTGCTAAAGGATGAAGTGTTATTTTGCTTTGTGCAGGGATATATGTGTCAGTGTGGAGATGCACAAGGAGCATTGGTGAGGTCTGTTAAGAAATAAAAGCATACAGAAACAAAGGAGAAAACATTGAGACCAAGAATGAGATAGGAGATGTAGGAGAGGCATGAAGGCTGTTATTCAAGAAAAGGGAAAAGAAAATGGCAAACAGATGTTGCAAGCCATACTAGTAATACAACACTAACGCAATCCCCAATTTAAGGGGGAAAAGCAAGGCGCATAAATTAAATACGAAGAAAATTGGCTAATACTATTATTTTGGAGAGTAGCAGCCATGCTAAGCCTAGGGTACAAAATAAATTATTTTGGAAATCCTGAACAGATTCTGTCAAATATTTCTTTGAAAGGCTCTAACACATTCATGGCTTGGAAAGAAATGGGCTTGAAAGTCAGATGACTTTGGTGACAAAGAAATGTCTTTGGCTGCTTTTGTCAAAATTTAAGCTTGTAAACAGTCTCCAGATACAGCAGTAGTTTTGTTGTGATGGACAGTGAGACACCTCTCTCTCTGTACATCAGATGTTTACATAACAATCAGTATAAAACACTCTGTGTCAGTTCTTCTTAACTACTTTTAACAAGCGTGAACATATGAGTGGCTACTGTAATGTGCTGTGCAGCCAAAGATGATGAAATACCTTGAAATTATCTTCTTGACTGATTGAATTTTGTGTTGCTTTCCGCTTGTTTGTTTTCCTTTTTTTCTTTTTTTTTAAACAGAGACGGCATTGACACTAACATTAATTAGCACTGACAATATCACTGCAGGCATCCTTACAGTGGGGTATTGCAAAGGCAACCATTATCCAATAACAGTTATGTTTGCTGAACAGTGCAAGATACCTTGTGCTTCTACCAAAGCTTCTGAACGGCACTGTCCTTTCTTGCTAAATATATTAACTTCAAAATTTTCGCAGTAGTATTTATCATTCTAAACCAGTTCCCAGGAATGAGAGAGGAACTGTAGCTATAAAAAGCAGGAGACATAAAAAATAATTCATACTATAAAATTGATTATTACATGTTTTAGCTTATTAGAGCTGAAAGAACTTGTATTTTTAAAAATCAAAATTAAAATTGGAATAGAAAATAAAAATAATTAGTAACAAGTTACTACATAGGGCAATGTGTTATCCGTGGGCTTGTAAATTAAGAGAACACTAAGCTCAAATGGGATTTCATTGCATTAATGATAAAGTATATGATGAAAATTTACCAAAGAATTTGGATGATTTGCTTTTAAAATAAATAGCTCTGTCAGCTAACACTGTTTTATTGCGGTAATAACTGAATGCTTACAAATAATGCCCTTTTGCATTCTAAGGATATTATTGTGTCAGTATTTTAAATTCTTTTCTGATGTTTTTCATTAAACCTTCTTTTATAATTCACAGAATTTGGAACTTTTAAACACTATTCTTGAAATAAAAATTTACACATTGTGATAACATTGAATAATTAAGCAGAAGCACACATAGGTGTTTTACATGGCACTGTGATAAAGGAACAGTGTACTTCATCATTGGTCTTCTCAAGATACGCTTTGAAGGACATAAATATCATATGCCATAGGTACTTGTTTGAAAGATGGATGGAGAAGGATTCTGGACTCACTGTTGGATTTCAGAAAAAGTAACAGACTCAGAAATCTGGGTAGGATAATTTTGTCTTTAACAACACTATCCCAAATGTGAACCTTGTACGTTTTTTATTCTTAAACAATGTCATATAAAGTGTGACAAACCATGGCAAATTATTTTTCTTGGACACATCTTCTACAGACTCAGACCATTTTTGAGATATTTCATTAATCATATTGCTCTAGGCAGTAGAGTTTATCTAGTTATATAACTGACAGCATCATGTCTTCACATGACGCTTCACTTGTTTCTGCCACATCTAGCTGTCTGAGTGTGCCGGTATCAAAAAGACATGGCAATCAGCAAAAATGGATCAAGCAGTAAAGGTTCTTCTATGTAAAGGGCAAAAAACCTGTAGGTAAGGAATATTGAGAACTTTTTGATAATAAAGCATGATCAAAGCAGTACATTCATCCTTACCTGAAGCAGATTTCAGAAAACTACTTGTTTTGATAGTAATAATTAATGGCTGCCATCAACAAAGTCCTCTCTACAATCTTTGATACGAAGACATTGATGAGTACTCTGAAAATCATTTCAAGTTTAATTAAGAATCAATCCAGCACAAACAGCAGTGGAAGCTACAACTGCTGAGTACTCTAAGGAGATCAGAAAGGAAGATGGCATCTTGAGGGGTCCTGAGGGCAAGGAGGAGCACCCAAATAAGGCTTGAGACAGCTCTGTCATCAGAATTCTTTCTCTTCACTTCTCATCATCCTCTTTTATTGAAGTTCCATTCATCTGTCATGGGCCAAGGCAGTATTCAGTATCTGATGAAAACCCTTGATTGGTAGGTATCATTTTTCCAGGCACTTTTCCAATAGAAGATCTATTCCTTCACTCCTCTACTGCAGAATCTGTGCCTAGTGCCATTTGTTTTATGGGATCTTTTTAATCTTTACAATTTGCATAACTATTCTAGACTGAAGGGATTTTTCGTTAATACAATTTGCTCTAATGTCTTTGGTCAAAGCTTTAATGTTGTCCTTCCACTGTTGTGCAACATGTTCTCTCCTAGCATTGAAAGCAGTTTATTTTGACTAAATCTTGTCATTTCATGGAGTTTAAATTGATCAGCATTACGTAAATATTCAGTGCTATTTTATACATAAATATTGTTTGAGTAAAAGTTAAATCAAAATTGAAGCAGGTTTATCTTTGTATCTTACAAAGTCTTGTTGTGCTTTTGCTATCACAATTTATATTCCTTTCCAGCAAGTTCTGTCTACTAGCAAAGGCTCAAACCCAGGTCACACAAATCGTCACTGTTCTTTTCAGCAGGTGTAGATCTAATCCAAGTGACTTGGGTAGGAGTGAACTCTCACTTCAAAGTTAAGAATCCTTCAGTGCTTCATGCATTGCTGGTCTGCAATCAGTTGTTTGGACAAGACAATTGACCATTTGATTATTCGCCTGGAGATTTTGCTGCTGAGTCATGGCTTTTTAATCATGGTAGAATTGGACTCTGATTACAAAACACTTTCTGAGAAATTATCACAACTATGCTAAATTACAATCTATTAAACATATTTGGAACATGTTGATAGTGTTTTGTTAAGTTACTGTTACCTGTTTTACTGCAGGTGATGTATCTGTGTTCCTTTTCTTTCACTTCTCTAAAAAATCGCTTTGTTCTGGGAGTTCATGTTCACTGCTTGGATTTAATGTTGGATGCTGGAGTATTTGACTCTATCTGACTATGCCTTTATCCCAGAGCATAGTAGTTCACTATACTTTCACTATTTTATTTATCTGGGGAGCGTACGCAGAATCTAGTATACTTGCCTTTTATCTTTTAACTGTTAAGAGTTATTGTCTTCATTTTCAGTATACAGAGATCACTGTGGCCCTGTCACAGGCCAAAATACAGGTTTTACATAGCTGTAATTATAAATGGACACTTCATTTTTTCAAAAAATTTCTTGTTAGAAATAGAGGTAGTAATTTCTATATCTTCCTGCATCTTTTCTGTTACTGTCATTTATATGTCCCATAAGCATTCCTGTAACCTTTCCTGTGCAGATAAGCTGACTCCATGTATTAGGGAATTATGGATTCTATAAAAGTGTACGTGACAGTATAAAAGAAAAAATGTCTCTTGCAAGCCTAAAGAAGCTATCCTGTGTTTGGGATTGTATTGTATTTTTGGAAATAGTATTTGATGGATTTAATAGAAAATGGTTTTGATTTTTTTGTGTAGCTGAAAAGAGTATCGCTAGTAACAGTAACTTAATTTTTTAAAAATTTTTAAAGTTTCATATCAACCTTGTAAGAACTTCATATAACTTTTATAGAAGGTGATACAGAACTATATTAGTATAATGGGATATTATTAGAGGCCTAAGAAGTCACTGAGTTCAAGTCTTGCCTGTCTTTATTGATCAGGTAACCTTGTATTGTGTTTCTGCTCTGCCAGTGCCCTATCTGAAATATAGCAAGTTGTCTTCTCCTAAGTGGATTGAAAAGTGCTGTGGGAGGTCAGCTACTGTCTATTGCATTCTTAGCTGCACCACAAAGGAGAAATTCTGGGTGGAAAGAATACTTTTGATAAATAATTTATATTGTTTTCTTTAAGGTTTGTTGTTTGTTGGGTTTTTTTTAAACTACTGGAAAACTAAGTCCTGCTCTTTTGCTCTGTATGTATCTCAGGAAAGTGAGAGAAAATCGGAGTGTAGTGAAGTAGAGTAATAGAGTTCAAATAACAGAGAAAACTCATTACCATATCATGTAAGGATAAAATAAATATAAAAAATTTTCTGGAAAATTAAGTAGTTGACTTCCTGAAAGCAAAAATGTGCCAGGAGAAACCTGCCTGTTTCTACCATGTTATTCAACTTCAGCCTGAATTACTAGGACATTAAGTCCTAAAACATAATGACATTTTATATAGGTAACATTTAGAAAAAATAGGAACTGCATTTTTAATAATTTTATTATAATTTGAATATGACTCTTAAGAGAATAATCACTTACCAATGTCTAAGCTAATACTAGCATGTTCCCTTCCCACTATTGTCAGAGGGATGGCATCTATTCTGGATTTTTGCACTAGCACTGGTGGTAATAATTTTGTGAATGCTAAAGCAGACAACTGGTAACATACTGCTAATAAATCAAATCCTGCTTAGAGCAAGTTTAAGTAGTAGAGTGGTAAAAGCTGTTGATGCCAAGCTAGCTCTGTCTTATATTAGTAGGACCTACACCACTACAAAAAGCAATAACAGAAAAATTCAACTTAAATCTTAAATGGAGTCAGGGCCTGTGACTATTGTCATTTTATGTGGAAGCAGTCACCCTTCATAGGGGTGACTGACTGAAAAAGAATAGATATCATGTAATGTATTCCAATTACTGTAAATAACAGATTAATGGCTTTCCCGTTTGTGAAATTGTGTGGCTGGGATTGTCAGTAAGCCTATTTGCAGCTGGTAGCAGGTGTGAATCAGTTCGCTGGAATAAATTTCCTGCTGTATGGTCCTTCATGCTCCTCTTTTGCTCTATTATGTTGGTCAATGGGTTGATTTTATAGTGTTGTGGTTTTCTAAAGGCACTAATACCCTTCAGCATAATGCTTTAAATTTTAATTAACTCAAAGAATAAGTGTCTCGCTGCAATCACATTCTCAGGAGTCTTGGTAATCAAAATGATCCCATAATTGGCATATTTATGTTTTCAATGTGGTTTGTCAATTAAGTGGTTTTAATTTCTGTATGAGCCAAAAACTGTAAACCTCTGGGACTGTGCTTTTATATCAGACCCTGCAGAAAGTTTGGTTGTCACATATTTGCCCAGCCACAGCCCCACGAGAAAAACTGTCTCATCATCTTGCATAACATGAACATGCGTAATTTTAGTTGCATTTTCTGTTTTCCCTTTCCCAGGTCCGCTGTGATAGTGAAATACAAGAGCTACGTCAGTGGCAGAAGCAGTTGAGAGAGGACAAAAACATTATTAAAAGAGTGAAAGAATTCTGGGCTAAGCAGGAAGCCAAAGGTAGTGAATTAAATGGTGTATTTTAATGATTTTTCTTTTTACATTGTTTAATTTTTCTAGAAAATTAAATGAAACAGGACACAGAGTGAGAAGAGAAGGCAATGTCTGTTGGAAATGCCTGGCTGTTTCTTTACAGTTACTACTTAGTCTAAGTTAGTTGCCTGCATAGCTGAAAGTGGCAATTAAAAATACAGTACAGAGCCAAAGCTCAGTAATTGCAGAGGACTATGACAGTGTGCTGGCAGAGTATTTCCTAGGGTGGGATCAGACCTCCACCAGCTACAGAACATGTAAATAGTGATTTTACTAGATGGGTGGTTTTACAGGTTTTCTGAACTGTGGGATTTCTATTTGGTAAATGTTTTCCTGGAATTTTCCTGTAGTTATTTATAGCAGAAGTTGGCCTGTACCGTTCTAAAAAAAGAAAACAAACCCAAACAACCCAATAAAATTGCCAAGGGAAATGAGGCCAGATTGCTTTAAGAACCAACACTGTAACATGTTTCCTTTTTGCCCTGATTGTGGACAAGGCTTTACTCACAGGGCCAAAGTTACCATTCACTTACTCAAGGCACAGTGGTGTAATTATGATTATTCACCCAGACTCTTCGTCTACTAATGCAGGAGGATTCACTAGCTCCTCAACCAGTCTATGTTTTATCAGCCTCTTTAGGCTGGACTCAAAGCGTGATACACATAGGGATGTGAACTACACACCAATAGATGGAGGTGAGAAGAGGTCGTTCAGCTATGTTGTTCATGTGTTGAAGAGAGGGAAAACTGTTTTGTAACAGTTACCATTGTGTGGTCCTTCAGCCTGATGGCACTGTCGCAGGTATGTTCTCAGGTGGCCGATATTTGCCCTGAACTACGTAAAAGCATTCAGAGTGCATTTTCATGCAGTCAGTTGGATCAAACTGGGAGCTGCCAAAAGGGTTGATCCCACTCAGAATCACAGAATCATTAAGGTTGGAAAGGACCTTCAAGATCATCAAGTCCAATCGTTAACCGAACACCACCATGCCCACTAAACCATATCCTGAAGTGCCACAACCACACGTTTTTTGAACACTTCCAGAAATGGTGACTCCACCACCTCCCTGGGCAGCCTGTTTCAATGCTTGACCACTCTCTCCGTAAAGAATTTTTTCCTAACATCTAATCTAAACCTCCCCTGGTGCAACTTGAGGCCATTTCTTCTCGTCCTCTCACTAGTTACTTGGGAGAAGAGACCAACACCCACATTACCACAACCCCCTTTCAGGTGGTTGTAGAGAGTGATAAGGTCTCCCCGCAGCCTCCTCTTCTCCAGACTGAACCACCGTAGTTCCCTCAGCCGCTCCTCATAAGACTTGTGCTCCAGACCCCTCACCAGCTTTGTTGCCCTTCTTTGGACATGCTCGAACACCTCAGCATCCTTCTTGTAGTGAGGGGCCCAAAACTGAACACAGTGTTCGAGGTGCGGCCTCACTAGTGCTGAGTACAGGGGTACAATCACTTCCGTCTGTAGCTCTTGCATCAATTTTAGTTGATTGTGTAACTGCACCATGGGTTTGGATCAGTGAGGGTTTTTTGTATGGGGCAGGTTAGTTTCCACAATGTTGTTGCCACGTGATTGTTGTATCTAAACACAAAGGAGAAAGTGAACTGGGAATAATGAGAGGGACAATGGCTTTCAGCAGTCCACAGCTTGGTTAAATTGAGCAGAATATGAGATGGTGTTCTCATACCTAGTTACTGTTCATGGCTGAAGAAGTGCTGATCTCCAAGTGAGTGGCAGGAGTTAAAAGCCAGGGACAAGTCATGGCTTAGACCTCTTCAGCTCAGTACACAAAAGCACATCTGTCGATGCCCTCATTCTGAGCCTGGTTTTCATGGGACTTCACTGGGAAAGGAAAGACTTACGTTTGAATCCCTGCATGGTGTTCAGAATCAGGTTTCTTTGAAAGATTTTAAAATGCTGAGTCCCAGTCAGTTAGATACCTACTATCCATAAAAATTTACCATGTTGGATTTCAAGTGACAAAAAATTGCTGATGTGCAGTCTGGAATTAGGCAGCTTAGTGGGGGCCAGTGTCCTCTGTGTTGCCTAATGACCTAGGCAGCTTTTCACTCAGCATTCAATATTTGTGGGTCACCATCTGGAGCTCTTTCTCTTTGCTGCCTCTGTAGACCATGCCATTGTTTCGTTGGTTCACCTTCAGGTACCCAGTTTCTACACACTTAAAGTCTGAGCTGAGACATCGAATATGTCCTGCTGGGCCTTCACTAAAATGTTTTTTTCTTTCCTTATTCCCTATTCAACTTAACTGTTCTTTTTAATTAACTGGAATTATTGTACTTATGCATAGATATGAAATAAGGTATTCTGGAATTAAGTGTTTGACATCCTCACACTATGCTTTATTTTAGAAGCTGCAGTAGGAATGTCCATACATAAAGAGTACTTATTAACATCACTGCTGTAGCAATCAGAGCTTGTTGTGACTACAGCCTTGCAGATCTTCAGTAACACTAGTCATCAAATCTTTTGTGGCTACTGTTAATTTCGAAATTGTCCTGCTTTTTAATAGATGATACAACTAAAATTTCCCTATGAAGCATTTTAATTATAAAATAGTCCATGCTCTGTAAATGTCAAAGGAATTAACAGCAGTCGGGTCATTAACCTGATGCACTGCAATTATTCTTTCACTTTTTATTGTGCATCCATTCTATCTATCATTAGCTACAAGTAGATCAGGGTAAAAGGATGGCATGAAAGTTCCACACATTTCCCTTTCTGCTTGCAATCTTCTTTTGAAATTTTTGCCTCCTTTTCACATATGTGAAAGGAGAAATCTCGTACTAGTAACAATCATTTTAACAACTGGGATTGCAAACTAGACCCTTGTTTTCAGTTTTCCTTATTTTGACTTTTTTTTCTTCATGCAAAAAAATGTAATAGGCACTTGGGGCTAATAATAACATTTTAAACAAATGCTAGACTCTTTCTTCTGTGAAATCCAGCACTTCCGAATGGGCTACTTTTTATAACAACAGCAAACACAAAGTTATATATTGGTAAATTCTCCATGTTTTCAAGTTCCCTCACTGGCAAACCTTTGATTCCCTAAACTTCTTTTCTATTATTTCTTATGGGTACTTGTCTATCTGTTGGATAGCATTAGTTTTTAGAACATCTAGTCAGGGGAATGTTGCAGTTACACTGTGTTAAGTTCGCTGTCAAGTCTTCTGAAGTGTATGCAGAACAACAACTAATTCTGCAAGTAGATAAGTAGGTATTTCCACTGCGTATTTTCTAATGAACACAGGGTTTAGTAGTTATAGTATAAATCTTTCCAATAAGTATCTTAATACATGGTGCTGTTGTAACACAGCTTCTCCTCTATTGTGTGAAGTGGAGCAGTATTTAAGCCCACTCTCACGCAACGGCTGTTTGTGCAGCGAACCCCAGGCAGTACATTTTAAATCGTTGCTCTGGATTTCTGAAGTAATCCCCATTTGGTCGCATAACATGAAGTGCATCAGTGGCAACTCTCATCCTCTAGGACAGTGTTCACTGTGAAAAAGCTGCCTCTGTGTCTTAGTCCTCTGCAGTGCTCACCTGCCGGTCACGTGCACAAGCTGGTACCGCAGGGTCCAGTGTTTGCAACTGAGAGAATCACGTTCAAATACTGCATCCACCATGTTCCTCTGGGCCTGGACAGCCCCAGTAACTCCTCCTGGCTTACCTACACTAGACGAAGCTCTTGCACAGGGGGAGGTCTGTCCCCAGTTTTGCTGCTTTCCCTGTGATGAGAGGTGGTGACTGCAGCAGCAGCTGCTGGATAGTTCTGTGGTTTGCATGTTTGCAAGTGCAAGGAAAAGCATTTTCCTGTTGGAGGTACTTTTACTGCCCGAACAGCCATTCTTCGTGATCTCCAGAGAAAATGTGTGAGCTGGATTGAAGCTCCTGCCGGCTAGCTTCGGCTGCATTGTGTTATTTAATAGAATGTGTCAAGTAAAATCTGCTTCCATTGCAATACTGCAAGATTTATGCTATATGTATTACACCCAGAGTTCATTAGGAAATATACAGTGGAGAAATCTGCTTTTCTAATTCCGATTGCAGAATTAGTTGGTGTTCTGCGTACACTTCAAAATGCGTGACATTCTTCCAATGTTCCTTCCAAGTGTTAGGAGTTCTTGTCATAAGAAGGTGTTTGCATTGATACCAGTACTGATACCAGTACAAATAGCAATAGATTTCTTTGAGTAGATACATTGAGAGGCAGGGTTATAATTAAGACAGTAATAAATGACAACCTCAAAAGCAGTTCTGCATGCCTACACCAACAGCAGGACCACAATGAAAGCTGTTCCTGCAGGTTGTATTTCAGCTGTGAAGGCTTAAGTGTGAATTCAGTCTGCAGAATTCTCAGGGTAGAGTTTTTTAAATCATAAAGACAGTTACGTATCATCTGATATCAAAGCTGTCATGAAAGAGTATGCCTCCTCAATGCCTTGCCATTACAGCATTACGTATTGCAAAGTGTTATGAGCTGACATGCTTTTCTGTGTTTGCAGTGTGCTATGTGCAGGACCTTTTGATCACTGCTTCACTTAATTGTGAAATGTTCAGAACAAAAAGAATTTTCTTTAGAGCAATATACATTATAGTACAAATTCCAAAACTGGAAGACTGTCATGATTTTTTTTGGTGATAGCAGTTTGTTACAAGGGCTGCATAGATTTTCCAAACATTTATTCATATTTATATTGCAGTTTTAATCCACAAAAGGTAAGGTTTTATTTACCAACCATGCATTTGCCTAAGGGATATTTTATAGCTGAAAAGAATTAATTCTGAGGAGCAAAATCATACATCACAACAGGGAAAAACTGCATTTATATGTTTGTGTATATATGGGGTGTTCATATGCAGTAAGTAAAGTAGAATTCTTGGCTTTAGTAGCTTAGAGCTAGAAGATTGAACAAAGTAGTAACTAGTATCCGTGTACAGAAATGATGAAAAATAAAATCC